CCAGCAATTTCAGCCACACCGAAAGACGGAACACCTGCATTATGTGATTATGTATTTTCATGGAATATGGCACATATTCCCTATGATATTCGCTATGATTGGTAAGAGCGTTCTAAACAATGGCCATCGATTGATATTGTAGAAGTTATTTCTAAAGCATCGTGTCATTTAGTACCGAAACGAATAGGAAACGATGATCTGACATGGCGTTTGTCATTGAGTTTTCCCGAACTTCTTTTGACAAATTCATTTCAAGACAAACAAAAGAAATGCTACATTCTTTTAAATGCTATTGTGCAAGAGTTAGACCCCGGTAAGTAAAACATATCTAAAACAAGGATATAATTTTTGCTTAACTGACTCCTATTATCGTGTATTATCAGGTGTATTATCATCCCACCATATTAAAACATTTTTTTTTCACTTATTTGGAAAAGCACAATTCTACGTTTAGTACAAAAGATCAAATATCAGTTATGCTCGAAATGATTCAATCTTTATCAAATATATTGAAAACTCATACGATGCCTAATTACTTTTTATCAAAACTCAATATGTTGGAATTTGTATCAGATAAAAACTGTCAACATCTTATAGTACAATTAGAATTATTTATTAAAAAACCAGTTTTCATGATGATTACTATGGAGAAAAATTTTAAACAATTTGCAAATATCTTAGATATTCCTATTCCAAATGATTTACACTTAATGTCTAATGGTTTTTATTCAAAACATAAAATATTGAATTGGTATTTTAAGTCATTATTTAAATTTGCATCAGTAATCAAAGACTCAATGAAATTAATATATTTTGAGAAACTTGTTCATCTATCAATAAAATATTTTCCATCCACAAGTGAATGGTGTTCAACGGTCGAAAATTTACTATTTATGCGGTTAGCTATGGCATTTACAAAGTCATTAATTAAACAATTACCAGAATATTTTGAAAAGAACACTGAATTCGAGCAAAATACAACAATTAATGAAAATTGGTTGTGTAATAATGTTTTAGAGCCAATAACATTGGTGTTCAGTATATTAAGTAATGATAATAATGAATATAGTAATATCCTTGATAACGAACAGTCGTCAAGTGATTCAGACTGCCAAGGTAAGCGACGCACTGCTATAAAAAAAAATAAACCAACAGACTTGACTAACTTGACTAACAGACTTTGACTAATAAAAACAGAAGACGGAAGCCGTTTGCATTTTCAACATTCTATAAAAAAAGGCTTTACTTGGTTATCTGATACGTGAGGGTTAGAAGAGCTCGATTTTTCACACGGTGTAACAGGGAAATTAAAACGAATTGAAATCATTGCTTCTTGTCTTTCTGTAGCGACACCGGTCATGTCCTAAATAAATGTTTAATATTGAAGTGTTTCAAAGAAAGTCATCTTTTACCACTATCATACAATAATATTTCTATAAAGGGGTTAGATCCTGGTTGGAAAAAGTGATGCAAAATTCAAAAGAATATGGTTGTGAACCAATCTTCAAAAGCTTCTCGTATACAGTATATTCTGAAAAACTGAACCTTTAGTTTAGTTTAAACTGTATTTATTAACCTTTTCCAAGGAGAACCTAACGGATTTGTAGAGTTTTATTATTTAATGACACGAACAGGAAAAGAAGATATAATAATTAGAATAATAGGTTTTCCTGGATACTTGCGCAATTAAATTTTTTTCTCAACACGTAGATTTGTAGAACAAAGTTTTTTGATCAAAATAAGACCACGCACAACTCCGTATGACCTTGTGTCAAAAAGTCACAAGTATTTTCCTACAAGTCCTAAAATGGACCAATCGATGCAGAACGTTTTCTCCACATGGGAGTTACACCTGGAGCTTTTCTCAAGATTTAATATACTTCAAGCTAGCGAGTTCGGATTTGTTTTATTTTAAACTAGACATCTGATCGGCGTCGATTTTTCAGTTAAGCCTTTATTGGTTTTCTACACAACTAATAACCTCAAAAACCCGAAATGCCCTTCCTGGTTTTCTAAAAATCCTCACTTTATTGAAAAAACTAAGCTCTAATTGAAAAATTGGCGCCGGTCAGATGTCTAGTTTAAAATAAAACAAATCCGAACTCGCTAGCTTGAAGTATATTAAAAAATCTTGAGAAAAACTTCAGGATCCTTTTCGGATCTTGATCTCTGGAAAACTCATAAGCGGTTGAAGCATTAAAGCAAAAAAAAAAATTTTTATTTCCGTAACTCATTGTGCCTAACATTTATGGAAAGTTTCGTCAAAATCGGATGTACGGTGTCGGAGATCATTTCTGAGAGCGTCCTTAGGGGGAGCAAATAGCAGAATTGAAGTTTTATTGAAAATTTATTTGAATGAGCAGTTGGAAATAAAGTTTTAAATATAAAGTATAATACTGCTATGAAAATCATTTTAATAAAATTCTTCTGAATTTATTTAAACACTCGAGCTTTCGATCACAACTTAGATCATTTTCAAGAGTGAATGACAAAAAGAAAAGAAGCAGTATATATAAAAATACATGCAGAGCGAAAGAAGAATTTTGGAAAAATCTAAAATACCAAACAATAACGAAAGAAGAAGAGAGGAAAAATCCATAATAACACATTAGAATGCGCGTTCTAATTTCTTTACTTCCAACTGCTCATTCAAATAATTTTTTCAACAATATTCGTCGAAAGTATGGCGAATTTATATTTGGTAACATCCGGCAATTACAAAGGATTGTGGTGGAACAACAAAAAGCAATTGCAGATGTGGAATTCTTAAGATTATGTTTAATATATAATTTAACACCAAAATTTATCAAAATTAAATTATGGAAGAAGAAATTCACATCATATCAACAACATCTTACATATCAGCGTGAATGTTTAAAATCAGAATTCAACAGCAGACACAATCACTCATTGAAACATCAGAAAAGTTCACTTTTATTACAAATGAATTGAAAACGAAATTAGATGTTAATGAAATTCAAACATTACAACATCTACTACATAGTAGTGCATCAAAAATACAAGAACAGTGTTTGGCAATTCATAGTAAAAAGTTGGAGAAATTGAACAAAGGTCCCATCGGCCAAAGGTATGAAAAACTGAGATATAAATTGGTACATAACATTTCATCTTACATCTTGTTGCCCAATGAAGAACGGTTGTTATTACGTGGGTGGCAATTCAGTATTGAACACAAAATTACCAGTTTCATTGATTTTAAAACGGACATGGAAATTAATACATCATATTTGCAAAAATACTGTCATTCTTCTATCTTCAAAGATGGAAGTCACAGTTTATATTCCTATTCACAGCAAATGATGAAAATAGCTAAACGAAAATCTATTCGTAACATTAGTGACGATGAATACAACGCCATCAAATCGTTAAAAGAAAAGAAAAAGATTGTAATTTGTAAGGCGGATAAGGGTAATTGTATAGTAGTAATGGATATGAATGATTATCTTATCAAATCACATGAAGTATTAAAATTAAAACAATTCGTTAAAATATCAGCAGTCAATGGATTAAATGTATTGAAAGAAAATGAAATGAAAATGAATCAGTACTCACGTTCTTCATATCTCAAAAATATAATTGAACAACCATTATATTATAGACTTCGGTCCACCAGTGCCTCACTTAGTGTTATGTACGGTCAGCCTAAAGTACATCGTATTGGTTATCCGTTAAGACCTATTATTTCCTCCGTCGGTTCATACAACTATGAATTGTCAAGACACTTGGCGCAAATTATTCAAAGATATCGTACTCCTCCTCCGTCATTTGTTAAAGACTCATTTCAATTCGTAGAAAGAATCAAAAATATAGATTACGAGGATGGTCAAACTATGGTGAGTTTTGACATTGAATCGTTATACACGAATATTCCTGTGTACGAAGCCATCGAGACTGCATTGGGCCTGATTTATGTTGTCGGTATTAAACCCAATGATATTCCATATTACAGAGATGAGATGAAAAAATTATTATACTTAGCGATATGTGATGTTCCATTCAGATTTCAAGCAGAATTATACAAACAGAACGATGGTGTTGCTATGGGCAGCTGTTTAGCTCCTATCTTGGCCGACATTTTTATGATTAAATTAGAACAAAAATTAAATAAATTATCGTTTAACAAACCACAATTGTATTTAAGATATGTCGCCGATATATTCTGTGTGTTTTCAAAAAAACAGAATTATGAAGCATTTTTAAACACCATCAATCAATGGCATCGAAATATTCGTTTTACTGTGGAAGTTGAAAATAATGGACAATTGCCGTATCTTGATGTTATGATCATGAGAAATAACAATGAGAGAAGATATGACACAAGGCTGTACAAGAAGCCTACTGATACCGGGTCATATTTAGTATATGAATCAAATCAATGTCGATGGTACAAGCTAGGTCTCATTAAAACGCTGACAGTACGCATTCTTCGGATCTGTTCAACACCACAACTGATTGAAACGGCTAACAGATATACTGGGCGATAATGGTTATCCATCTCATATTATTCGAAAAGGGATTCGTGAAGGGAAGGTCATTGCGAAACGATTAGAAAATCCAAAAGAAAAAAAGTAATAAAATCACAATCAAAGTTAAGGAATATGTTCTTCACATTACCATATTTTGGAGAAGAAACGTTTGTATTGGGACAAAGAATTAAATTTTGAATTGAATTGAAATTTACCAATACAAAAGGGATTAGATGGAAGTAACAAAATGAAGAATATTGTCTATTCTATTTCTTGCACAAACTGTGATCTTAAATACTTTGGAGAAACATCTAGAGACATAAACATTCGTATTGAGGAACACTGTTCTGATGTGCGCAGGTAAGCACCAAATTCAAAAATTGTCCAACATGTACGTGGAAAGAAACACGTTATGAATTTTAATAATATAATTACTGTTGCACATGAAACAAATTGGAAAAGAAGAACGATCAAAGAAAGTCTGCTGGCACATTCAGCTGGTGGAAAGAGTATTAAAAAAAAATGATGTGTTCTAGGTTCTAAGTTTTTTGACTGTTGCTGAACAAGATGGTCGATTTTAGTTTAACGCCTTACTTGCTTAAGGACAGCAATGAAAGAAGATTTTTTTTCTCGCAATTATTAGGTTACATCGTGCTTTGACGCCCCCAAAAATATCATCTTTGCTTCAGGCGTAGCAGCCAGTTGTCAACCACGTTGTCCAGGATTTCAAATTTCATTATTGGCTAGAAGTATCACATGTAATCAGTTGACAATGCAGCCTCGCTTAAAGTGTGGCGGCGATCGCGAATGTCGATCGAATCAAAGCGTTGTCACGTGACGCCACTTGTACGACGCGCTGTGTCGAAATTCGTCAAGCTTGACGAGAAGCGTTTTCTAGAATAAAAGAGCAGTTTCTTGAAAGGATTCGAGATGAGTCCACCATTTTTCTGTTGATTAACGAACAGAAGTGTCTCACAGAGAGTTGAAGCTCGTTGTGAGACTTATAAGACATCAGTCAGTCTAAAGCTGACTATTAGATGTTTTCCTCAGAGTTGCTGTGTATATCCGTCCGAGTGTGAGTGAGAGCACGGGCACACTTTAGGGGTTGTCTACGCTCTCCGATCATGCCCAAAAATAATGGTCGTCGGAGTGGCAGATATCAAAGTGCACTTTTCACGGACGTACCAGGCGCGGACATCCATCTGTCTTTCCTTCCAACAACACTCTTTATATACTAGATTAGTATCAACACAAGGCGCTTCATCCTCCATTCACAAATTGAAAGAATGTAAAAATCTGTGAAAGTTCATTCTAATGCATCCAGACCGGGAACAATGAATATCAAGCAACGGATCTTAAATCTACGTAGATTGCCCACCATATCCGTGATACACAGAATATGCCGTTGCTCCTTTGCACTAGCGCCTCTCTATTTTCTTTCTATATGAATCGATGTCACATTGAAATGTTGTCTGCTCTTATCAACTGTTTGTTATTCTCATTCTCTTTTTTCAACTGTGAGAAGAACGGAGTGACTAATCAGAGGCATCAACAGGTGCGTGCATGGTGAGGTGAGTGCATGGAGAGAGTATGGCTTGACCAAGTCGTCATTCGTATCATATGAAGTCCATCGTACACACGTCCATGGGATCTGCAACTGAACTCAACTCTTGGTCCTGTGCTATTCCGATAAAATCATCGTCTCGACGACGTCTTCTGATCACACTCAGTTTGGCCGTGTTATCTGTCGCTCTCATCTATCAACCGTTGCCTCAAGATTTTCCTCAACCATGGAAATATCGTTTTATCTCATTCTGGGCTCATGTATTCGTAAAAATCGTATGTTAATTCTCAGTGTCTTTCCATTCGATTGCAAACACTCCATTCTGAAAATGACTTTCTTGAGAAGAGTTATCAAGGAAATCTACTTTCTCCAAGTCGAAGTTATTGCTTGTTGAAAAACGGGAGACGGTTGTCCTGCACCTTTTTCATGTTCGCATGAAATCAAGCGGTTTGAATCTGCAAACATTGAAGCAAGACTGAGGAGTGCAGTCATTTTAGAATTTCTCTTGACTCGAGGTAGTTTCGAAAAACTTTCTTTTGGGATCGCCGAAACTTTCCGCTCTGCAAATCTATGACAAAGACTATGTTTTAGGAGAGGACTTTCATGTTATTTTCTATTTGTATTTATCAACAGGGCTCCTTTGGCGAACGATTCAATTGGTTCGATCGCGTTCACATCATACGCAAGCTCCACTATTTCGGTACAGGGTGCTTTCAAATACGTGATCCTCTTCATCGTCTCAAGGTACATTGTCAATCTTTCTGATTATCTTTCTAAATCTCTTTATCTCTGGCTAACAGGTCTATGACAGACGAATATTGAATGTTACTGTTCGAATGTATGAACCCGAAGAGTTGGCCAATGTCGACAAAATGCCCACGATAATACACTTTCATGGAGGTGGATTTCTCCTAGGCTCTATAGATACACACGATCAAGCCACCTATGTATTGGCCAACTTGACACGTGCACTTGTTATTTCAGTGGAGTAAGTCTTTCTTCTCACTTGTTGCAAAGAAAAGAGAACATGACTCTATTGCTGTGCAGCAATAGAACAATCCGAGAGTTCTGTCTTTTCTACTTTCGGAAAATAATAATTTTCATGACACGAATATTAGTGAATTGAATCGATTCTTGCTTTGAGGAGTTTCGGCAGATGTTTCAAATTACCTCCGCCAACAAAACTTTAAATTTTGATGGTATCGACACTATACCAGTTCTCATACAGTAATAATCCATTTTTATCACTTTTAAAGGTACCGTCTCGTGCCCGAACATCCGTTTCCGGCCGCACTGGACGATTGTACCTCAGTTGCATATGAACTTTTTCAGAATGCCATCAATTATCGAATCGATGCCAATCGAATAGTTTTGGCCGGTGATTCAGCGGGTGGTAACTTGGCGTTGGTCACCACTCAATCCTTGCTGAGAGACGGATTCACTCCTCGTACTATTTGTCTTTTGTATCCCGCTTTGCAATTCTTCGATTTCACGCTACCGTCTTACCGGGACTATTTGCCTCGAAATATTCTCGGTATAATCAACGAGGACAATTTTTTTTCTGCCATGTCCGAATTGAGTGAAAGGAAGGTGAAAGTGACACGCGATATTCTGTTCAACAACCATACATCGGCTCGCGATAAGCGACGACTTCGTCCGTTACTTGATGCTGATCAACATTTGGCCATTTCACTTCCATTCGATATCGATCAAGAAGGCAATCAGAATCTGATTCCTCATCTCAAATTTCTCGTATCACCTCGAATATCTCCGCTACTTGTTTCCGATGATGAATTGATACAATTGCCACCCGTTCTTCTCTTCACCGCTGAATTTGATATTCTCCGAGATGAAGGTATGCTGTTTGTTGGTATCTCTATTCTTCCCATTTTGTTTTTCACAATTTGCGCTGAAAGTTGTAATCTGAAGAACCGAACAAGTGTTCTCAATACGGCACTAATGAGATTTCCACGAATGCAGGTAGACGGAAAATAAACAAACGGTTACCGGACGGAGAGATATGAGAACGAGATGAGACATTCTCACGCAAGATCACTCATTTTCTCCAAAACAGTCTATTATACCGTAGTTTTCACGAGCAATGCTTCATTTGTTCATTCTCTTCCACTGATACAGGACATTACTTTGATTGTTCTCTTCTTTACAGGCTTCATACTTGCCGCACGTCTACGTTCGTTGAACAAAACTCTCTACCATCACCATTTTTCATCAGCATTTCATGGCGCTCATGTTCTCTTGTATGGTCCATTGAAATTCGACATTGCCTATGGCATGGGCGAGCACATGGCAAGAGCGATACGCACTTATCTTTAAATCTTCACAGTCAGTCACCATCACTTGTCTTTTCTATTTTGCTCAATCAAAGATCGATATCTACATTTCTATCCATGAATTAAGTCACCGACTGTGAAATGAGATTGTCTTTTGTTTATTTTACTTTTTCTCTGAATTGAAATTAAAGATGAAGAAATGATGAATGAGAAACGACGTGTATTGACCAACCACTGTTGAAGTGTATTCTAATAAAAAGTCGACCTGAAAAAAGCAATCTTATGTTTGCGTACAATGAATAATCAATAGAGTTTACGAAAAGGAATTCATGACTGCCACCCTGGAATATCAGTCATTGACATGCCAGCACATAAATCATTCATTCGAGGATAATAGATGAACGTCTGATGACACATTTCGCCTTTTGTTTGCTGACCACCCTGGTAAGAAAATAACTAAATAGACAGCATTCTCTCCACCTCTCATCATTCTGTGCAAGTGTGATTTCTTTCTTGTTCATAGTATTGTACACACATTGAGTAATGAACGCGTCTCCCTAAACTACAACTTGCAATAGAGAACGATTTCTTGTTACTGGATAAATTTGGACTGAGCAGACGATTGACAAACTGATAATTGAAATCGTATGCCTCACCATGGAACCGCTGTGTTATTTCGAATCAGCTTTGTCGATAGACTTTGACCTGTACAGTCGAACAAAATCATCTGAAGCTGTATTACAATTAATTTATTGACCTTGTAAGTGAATGTGCGGATAATCCATGACAAAACTGTAATGCCAGATTCAGGAAAACTCTGAAAAACAAAGAATAATGTAATAAGAAATGTCATTTTCCTGAGTAGATACCCGAGTGGCACTAGGAAATGGACCACGAACCGATCGACTTGCGATGGAATGGTAAGACCGAAAAGATTTTCAGTTACGCCGAGTGTTATGTAGCCAAGGTCATGTTGACGAAGTTCGTTACCAATGTAAAATTGAGTACCTGAACTGTCAATGCGATCTAAGACAGACAAAAAAGATCACCTTTCTTTTCAATAGAACACGTCCCGCCAGAGAATAACTTTGGACTGTCATAGTGCATTTGAATCATGTCATATTTTAGGATAAAATCTCCACCAACCGGGTAGCCAACTTCTTTAGGATAATCCATGACTTATTCAAATTTTTGTTATTTTGCTGAGCTCCTAAGGAACTTACTACGTTGAGGGTGAGGGTGAGTGTGGGTTCGATACCCATCCTGCCTTCAGTGACCTTTTTTCGTCCGACCTTTCGTAACAGTCGATACATATCCGTCGATCTTTGATTGCATTCTTGAAAATAATTCCATGGACAATCGAGATGATAATAGTCTCTTCTTTTCTCTCTCTAGATGTCAGTCGTCATTGACTCACCCTCATCCTTTCTCTTCAACATATCAAATTACATTAAAAAAGTGGGCATGTTGTGGAAAATATTCGTTAGCATGTTTTCCATGTCCAGTCGGTAAATCAAGCGGTAAAGAAGATACGCTGAATTCAATGTGTTTATCGAGCCAGTTGACCAGTCTGCACCCTTTTGTGTTCAGTTGGATACATCCTCAATTGGAATGCTTAGCATAGAGAGCAGTCAGATGAACAGACATTGAGATGCGAAAAAACACTCGGTCCCAACTCGATGAAAAAGTCAGGTATTGCATGTTAATTAGCTACGAATGGAGACATAATCCGTGAATAGTCCAATCTCTGCCATAGCTAATGAAAGATAGTCTACGCATTAGCACAGCTATATTGAATAACAGAAGCTACAGGTCGTGAAATGGCCATTCGCGTGTTAGATGCAAATAAAATGTGCGTTGTTCTTTGGCTAAGTTTTCTCCTGTTTTTGCACACATATCCATCTGACAGTCATTTTCGATTGTGTCACACCAAATATGCTCTTTTAAAAAATCTCATTGATCACGATTGTATCTATCACTATGCGAGTACGGAAAGTGACAAAGGCCGCCGCTTGGTGCCCTATTTCATTCGATTTGAACAGTATGTTGATTTGTCATGTCATGGAGCGAATTATAGTTTCAGCAAGCTTCATCAAGTCAACGTGAGTGCGAGTAATGTGCTCTCCTGGTTTGCACCTACAGTAAAACCTCTTAAGGTGGGCACCTCTCTAAGCTGGGCACTTGGCGGACCGCCAGACGACTTTTTGATGGAAATGAACCTCCCCAAGCTGGGCGCCTCCCTATCCTGGGCAGTGGGCACTTTTTTATGGCCCCGTCAGCGACGATAACCTCTCTAAGGTGGGCACTCGCCCATTTCAGACGATTTTTTCCTCTACAGCAAAAAGTTTTCGCGGGCAAGCTCGATCTGATGAAACAATCTTGACGAGCTAGCACGTGGTGCGATTGAAACCATATAAAGAGACGTATTTTCTCAACCGCTCGTTGTATTCATCAGCTGATTGAGAAAAAGCCACCATGCGACCACTGAACCTATCAGAGAAGATAGCTCTGATAAAAGATCATGCCAACGGAATTGGACTTTCTCAACGAAGACTCGCCGAGAAGTACCAGATCTCTAAAGGCGCCGTCGGAAATATTCTTTACGTCTTACTATCATGAAGAAAAATATAGAAACGAGGTATATACTAAGTATATACTTTGCTGCTGACAAAATCATTAATTAATTTTCATAAACTATTTACCGAGCTCATTTCTCTCTTTTTACCGTCAAAAATAAAATTAACCGAGCTCATTTGTATCTTTTCAGAGTATAAATTAACTTCCGAGCTCAGAACTCTCATTTATATAAATAAAATATAATTTTATTACAACCGATCTCTCATATTAAAGCCAATTAAACATACCGAGCTCAAATATCTCTTTTTCCCGAGCTCATTTATTATTTTATCCGTTTTTATCGTTGTCATTTTCGTAAAAGAATATGAGATGATCTTTTTGTCTCAATCAGACTTGAAACATCATATATTATCAAGATTATAGCAATAATCTAAAAATTACCTTTTTTCTCTTTCTTCTCGAATAAAAGTTTGAAACCAAAAAGTAATGGTAGAGTAGAAAATAATGCCGCTAAAATATTCTAATTATCAAAACTGAAAGATCTAACTAATTTGTTGCACAGAAAGGAGGGAACACAGAAAGATCAAATATTTTCTAAATCAAGATTAAAAAAAATCCGAGACTTTCCTGTCTCGTATGCGAGAAGATAGTGAATCGTCCTATAAAAAAAAAATGTTGTTAATCCAAGATCTGTAATTCTTTTCGTTATTCAGGAAGCATTCAGGGACACTAAATGTCAGTCATGAAGGATTATTCTCAAAAATCCATTGCTGAGACCCGGACACATCATATCTGCTGCTGTCTATAAAAGGTATGTAATTGTAATATTGAGCATTGAATTATTATCTGTAAGACAGATAATATAGTATACTATATTATCTATCTTTTCTTATATTATCTATTTTCTTAGCAAGTATACTTGCTAAGAAAAATTGTATTTTACAAAAAATTGAGTTTTTCGTTTAACAGAGAATATACCGAAGATAGCACTCTTAATATACGGACTCGATTATGAATCAACTGCAATAATAAATTTTACAGCTTCCAGATCGTGAAGCGAGACAAGTTTTACAATGAACAGAGATTGTGTTTTTCATTCGTCTTAAGTCGGGATCCAACATGAGTTTTCTGAATAGAATATTTGTGTGACATGACTGTGTCGAGTGGCATGACCGATGCCATTCGTGCACACCTGCATGTAGAGTAGATGTCGTCCTACAGCTTGGCGCAGGTCCCACACCTCGATCTTTCATGATTTGGATCTTACAGGCAATCTCCAAAAACCTATCTATTGACAAAACCTGAGCCATTGAAGCCTCAAAAATACATCTTACGTAGACTATCAGACACACTCATTACTTTGGTAAGGTTTGTTTTGTTCTCCGGGTTGAAGGAAACTATAAAAGACATTTTCAGAAAATACGATTTTTCCACTGTGACTATACTGAAATAAAAACCTTATAGCGCCTTCATTTCTCTACCAAATTGCTTCGAAGTTTCAGAACCCACTCAGTTTTGCCTGCTGTACAGTTTAGCAAGATTAAACTTTGTTTTCATACCAAGATTTCACCCCACGATATTCAGCGATCTTCTGGAAAACCCTTCAAGGTACCATTTAGCTTTTTACACTTTTGACCGTTTAATGTGATGAAACATTTCAAACTAAGTTTATTCTGAAACTATATATCGCTATGTGGATTTTTGGAATGACGTGCTCGGACTTTTTGCGTCGGAAGTAGGAATGCAACCAGTTGGCTCGTTTTTCTTTTTATTAATAAATAAATTATTTGGTTCTGCAAAGTAAAAATTAGATTTAAACAGAAGTTTAATGTAACACTTTCAGCGATTAATTGATAGACTGCGACATTCAGTTTAAAAAAACAAACACAAATGAATCATCGACAGTTGTAGCAGAGTGGATTTACAGCTTTCAATAAAGCACCATTCTTCAAAAGACATCATATTCAAATCAATTTCCTAAAGTACTTTTCGAGTTTTGTTGTAACCTGTAAACTCGAGCCGGCTCGGCTCGTTACACACCTAATCAGAAGGTACATGATGATAGACTCGTTGGATAAGACTCACATTGGCATAGAATTATGTCCCCGAGCGCCCTCTTCCATAATC